CCTCTCTCTCTCTCTCTCTCTCTCTCTCTCTCTCTCTCTCTCTCTCTCTCTCTCTCCCTCTGACGATTACATCGGGGCTACATCTACGAATATTGGACATCTCCCTGGATAACGGCGATTTTGACTGTCCCTGGTACATCTGGAATATTGTGAAAATTGCTTGTTAATGGTTACGCTGTCCTGGTTTGAGGTCGGAATAAACCTATTTTTACGAAATTACTGCAGTTAGTTCCATTACAGTTTCCAGTCAGTTATTCAATTTCTTCCACTTCTTGAAAAACATGCACGAAAATAGCATCAAACTTCGACTCCTTCCAGTTCTTGATCCGTGTTTCAAAAAGACTATTCCGAGATAATGAGACCGCCATTCTGTTAAGAGTAAATAGAATGAGTGCGCAAGTTTACGCATATTTAGGATTTTTTTCATTAATTGAATACCCAAAGAAACCAGCTTTAATATAGACACAACCTCAAAGTGCCAGGAATTACTATGTTAAAAACGAATTACAATGTGAAAATCTTACTCGAAATTCAAAAACCGTTGTCACTACAAATGAACAACCTTTTCATTATTTTTCTTTGTGTAGATAGACTAATAATGAATAATAAAAACTATCACTAGCAAGGAAAACATATGATATTTACTATCCAATAACAAATCAGACTTTCAGCAGCACTTACGAGGCATTTGTGGGAAACATCGTCTTTGTTGGATGCTATGGATATTCTACTATTGTGATATGTTAAAAAAATTATTTCTTTGGATTCCTTGGAAAAATAACTTTTTTTCCACCGAGATCTCTTAAATTTGACACTGTGCAACGTTGGGATTAAAACTAGGACCTCCCGGTCACTGCAGTAACATCAATTGAAGCCCTGAGCCACCTTTGTGGGTTTGTCTCTAAAAGAACAATGGAGTTTCCACGATGCACGACAACGGTTTCGAATTGTTTTTCGAAAATCATATAAGCGCTGTAAGACGAAACTTATAGTGTTAAGAAAGGTTCAAATCATAAAGTTCCTAAATGATAAAACTACTACTCCTTATTTAAATAAAAAAGAAAAGAACAACTACGTGTTCATTGTTGAACCCATTGATATGCTAGTGTTCATCAGTTCTTTCGATTTTCCTCTTTCACTTATTTAGTTTAAATTTTGAAACATTTAAATTATTAAACCATGGATTCCTTTTAAGTAAAACTTTAAGAAATTGGCGTCTAAAATTATTGAGAACAGACTTATTCTTAAGAAAAATTAATAGAAGATTTTATATTATCTCAAAGATCCTCCTCTCCTAGTTGTTGGCTCTGGTTGATGTCGCGGCCCCTTGAATTTGAAACCGATATTTTAATTTTGGGGGGCACTGTACATGAAGCCCCTGAGACATTTTCCAAATAAAAAAAAATGGCTCCATCGATTTTGATTAAATTTCATTGTTGGATAGTGTAAAGGACGTTTAAGAGAATGGTGCCGGTCTCATGTTCGTTAAAAATCCTGATTTTTCGAAAATTTCAAAAGTTCAAAATATTTTCAGATTCTTCTTACAACTAAAATATTAAAGATACATATTTTTACCTTAATAAAATCTGTTTCTTTAAGATAGATTTTGAAACACGATCATTTACAATATTTCGAAAATTTTATTACTTTTCGTTTAATTTTTCGTAAAAATACGGGCAAAAAAGCATGTGCTGTTTTAGTACCACTAGTTCTTTTTAGACATTTAATAAATGCTTTTCTATGAAATTTCATGGCTGTAGTTTGTTCCTTTTTTAGTTCTATCAAAATATCAATTTTGCTTTTCTATGTAATTTCTTTTCTATGCAATAAATGCTTTTCTATGAAATTTCATGGTTGTAGTTTGTTCCTTTTTTAGTTCTATCAAAATATCAATTTCCTCATGTCTAAATTCTCTTATTGAAATGTTTCTAGGAACTTTCAAAACTTCTGTGAGTGATAAAGACAATGGTGGGTTAGGCGCTGTTGTTGTTACACAAAATTCTGGAAATGCTATAATGGTAGGTTTGTCATAAGAGTGAAGTTACACTATTTTCATTAATATCGTTGTAAAGTAAGATGATTTTATTTTCTAGACATGCGCACCAAGATGGAAAAGTAATGAAGTATGTGACAATGTGCAACTTCCTTCTCGACTCAATGGCATTTGTTATTTTACTTCCAATATCACTTACCCAGCCAGTCGTGTTACTCCATTTCGTCCTTTTACTAAGTGTGGTAAGTAATATAAATGAGAGCAAATGAAGATATTAATCTTGCATTTAAAATATTACTCATGATTTTTCAGATGGGCAGATTTTCAAAAACAAATATCATTTCGCATTTGCTGAAGCTGGAATGTCAGTTCAAATTGTGAAGGTAAATGAGATACTACAAAACAAACAAAACAATCTTCGCTGTGGAAAGCTTTACCATCATTACTTCTCAGAATCTTTTAAATTGAGAAACTGGCACTTGGAGTATACTAATTTCAAGTAGAACAAGATGTATTTAAAAAAATATTCTTTATTTTTGAGAAAAGTTATTATTGTTGTTATTGTTATAATTACTATTACTACTAATACTATTACCATTATTATTATTATTATTATTATTATTATTATTATTATTATTATTATTATTATTATTATTTTATTACGTTACCTTAATGTCATATGAATTTCATTATAAGAAATGTTATATAAATAAATTTCTTAAAATGAAATATCGTTGCAGAACTTATCTGAGATAATACTAGGGGCACCAGGGATCAGCAATTGGAGAGGTATTTTTTTAATGGTTAATCAATTATTATTATAAATGAAATTACTTGTGTATTAATCTTATATATTATTTCAGGAATGATTTTGAGACATAGAATTGCAGATAATGCATCAGATATACCATGTCCATCATGTTACAAAATGCAGGATTACAGTTACTTTGGTATGGCATTTTTTAATGTTTTACACTTGTCACACATATAACTTAGAACATCCCTTTTGAGACAATAGTCATATTTTTTATAACATCTCATAACAAACAGTAGCTGTGAATGTGTCAAATGCATATCTTTATCACTAAAATTGTTGCTTTAGTTAAAATTTATGACTCTCAGAATAGGTTCTTTGTGTGGCACATGAAGTATAATAACCTTACCTGCATAGTACAGAGAGCTGTAGTGTCAAGAGAACTGTACAGAATGAAATGCCATAAGTTTGAATCCTGCATAAGTCATGGATCTTTTCAAATCATGATGATGGATGAAAAGTCCATTGCAAACAACTATATACTCTCTTAAACTCCATAACAATATTAATTTCATAATTTATTACTCCATGATTGCTCTGGAGTAGTACAAAATTTCCTGCAAACTTAAAAGTTAATGTTTGAAGAAACATCTTATTAAGGAAATAGAGGGCAGGTCTGAGGAAATTTAGGACAGCTAAAAAAATTTGTTTCGCAAACAATTTTGGGCAGCAAGGCTCAAATAAAAGGAAGAAAGGTGAACAAATACCAATAATTAAATTGCTTTTCAAAAATTGAAATTAATTTTGTTTGCAAATTACCATACCTATAACAATTTTCTGCATCTGAGATTGTATCTCTAAATTTAAGCAAAAGGAGCTAAAAGAAGTAAAAGCCGATGCAGTCACTATTAAATCACACCATTATTTGTGCTTTTGGAACAACATCTGGCAGTACAACTTGGTAGATTTTGTGGTTAGCAATTCAGTAATCAAAGTGAGTTTTGGAATAGGGGACAGGTAGATGGAGTGGAAATACTTTGAAACTCAAGGAGGAAGAAAGTCCCTTCAAACCTTCTCAGAACTACTGTTATCAGGGTGGAAAAGATTCAGGTGAAATTGTAATAAATGCAGGATTATAACTCACTAAAATAGAACCTCCTTCCTTCTCCATCTTCTCTGTGGAACCACCTTTAGGCATTACATCGCGGAGAGTGGAATAGTGAGATTTTTTATATATTCTGGTGTTAGTCAAGTGAGGTCATGATACTTCCCTCCTTTCTTTCTCCAAGTGACTTAATTCTTGCAATACTTCTTGTGCAAAGTTACACCCTGCCCTCCAACTGCTTTTAGAAGCATGCATATTTGCAAGTAGATTACTGTGAGCATGTGTGTGTGTTTGTATGAATATGTGAGTGTTGCTTGTGTGTATGTGCATCTGGAGGTTTTTAAGAGAGTTTCTCAGAGGAATTTGACAAGAAAATTTATAATAAATGAATTCTTAAAATGAAAGAAATAACTTGCATTGCATTTAGCTTCTTAGAAATGTAATAATTATGTGTTTTTTTCTTTAATGCAAGAGAGTCATTTCACCCCATCATTTCTGAAAGATTACCTCTATTTTTATACTTTGCTGGTAGTATTACTAGTTTGTCAAATTAATATTTCTTTAATAAGTAATATTTTGGGGAAAATGATACTAATGATTCAATCATGCTTATAAATAAAATTATCTGGTTGTTTAAATACAAAATGGTCATTGGCATTCATATTGCAATATAATATGCAATTTTAGCTACAATTCAATGATTATAACATGAAATTCATTGAACTTATTGTTCTCATAACCAAAGAGGTAGGACATTTTGTGTAGTTTTGTACAAGTCTCAAATTTCATTAAAAAAAACAACAAGTAAAATAAGTTAAAGAAATGAAATATAATACAGATTTATGCTCACCATTTTTCAGAAAATGTGTTATTGTATGAAAAAAATTGTTCATTTGTCACAATCTTTCCTTCATTGCAGGATATGCTGTTAATTATGGAAAATTTTCCCATTCTGAAGGTATATTATATGTAAGTGGTGCCCCCAGAGCGGCTGAAAATAAGGGCAAGGTGAGATGCCTTTTATAAAAAATAATTTTTACACAATTATATTAACTTGTTGTTCTAAAAGGCTTTGGTACTAAACTATTGTATTATATTGTTTAGATATTCATTTTTAAATTTGAAAGGCAATGGAGTTACAATAAGATAAGACCATGGGGTTACAAAATAATTAAAGAAAGAGAAGGAACTCAATTAGGAGAATATTTTGGTGCATCTCTGTGTGTAGCGGACTTCAATAAAGATGGACTGGATGATCTACTTGTTGGTGCTCCACAACATTCTGTCAAGACAAATATTGGAGATGAAGGCTGCATTTATGTTCTGTTGAGTTCTGATGTATGTTAATATATCATTCTCACCATATTTCACTACTGTACATTATTTATAAGTATATTTAATTCTATAAACAGGAGCAGATCCAGAGGCAATATTAGTTTGGGGAAATTCAAAATGTTTTGGTCAAATGTGTCATATTACAGATTATGTAGAATAAAGCAGACTAAACTCAGCTCATGCTAAGGTACAAATTTATTAGTTTGAATGATTATCTGAAAATATTTTGTGTGAAAGTTTTGTGACAAGTTAAAATGAATAGGTACTGAATGCATTGGGGGTTACCTAATTTTCCTTTCTGTGCTTACAATTATGTGGGGTAAAGCAAAACCATTTTGATTCACTGAAGAACTTAATTAAGAAACATAATACTATTCTAATTTAATGAAATCAGAAAACATTTTCTTTGATTCTAAAAGAAAATTCTATTAAAGAAAGCATAATTTTATTATAATTATTTTTATTTAATCGTATTACTAAAAAATTCATATGTAAAATTATAAAAGGATTTTATTCATACAAATAAGTGTTGTGTTTTGTATTGTAGAACCATGAATTCCATGTAACACTCACTGTCCTGGAATCAAATGTTTTTACAGAATGATTGGAAAGCTGTAAGAAAAATAGCAGGAAGTGATCAAAGAGGTGCGAGATTTGGCACAGCAATAGCATTATTAGGAGATATCAACAGTGATGGGTTCCCAGGTAATTATGAAATGTTTGTTATGGTTTTGAATGGCAGGGGTTTGTGACTTCAAACGTTGGTGGTTCATAAAATTAAGCTAGAGTGATTATGTTAAAAAAGAGCAAAAGATGCACATACAACACCAGTGTGGCCCAATGAAACACACACAACTAATTGGCACAGGTAGAGAGGTGCTGCAAATTTCGCTCACTCGCTCGCTGCTGTGTATTCCACTTGAAAGCAACCAATAACTCACCTCCCTATTTCAGTGGATGAGTGGTGCTCACTCTCTAACTGAAGACAATTGTGCAGTTTTTTCACATACGTTTTTAACTGGATGTGATCAGAAAATTAAGGGATTTGGTAAATCTTTCGTTCTTAATATAGGCTACTTCAACCTACAAGATAAACAATTCTTTTCCTGGAAGGGGTCAATAATACCTTCACAAAATTTTTCTTTCTCTAATCCCCCTCTACCAGGAGAAGTGGCTCAGGGCAGATGTAATTGCAGTGTCTCTGACCAGGAGGTCCTAAGTTTGAGCTCCAATGGTAGCAGGATTTTCAATACTAGCTAGATAGCTTGGTCATATGCTAGAAGATTCATAGCTAGGTCATTTGGAGAAGAATCCTAGTGGCTAGATGCTGCTCCTCTTCTCCAAGTTTTGGGAATGTTGACTAACAACGTGGAGCTAAGCTCCCTGCTTGCAGCCAATAGTTTGTTATCGTCCATGCTTTGTAATTTTGACTCCCAGGTAGCAATGCTGAGTAAACCACCAGGTTCATAGTACACAAGTGAAACATTTTTGAAAACTTGATTTGTAGTTAATGAAATGAAATTGTGATGCGATTATGACTCACAAGTGTAATTGGGAGTAGAAGTTGAATAAATACCTATTACACATTTCCAACAGCTGATCCAACTGTTCAATTTGGGATGCTATCATAAATTCTTGTTCAATAATAAACAAGTTTGTTATTATATTGTATATTATTTTTGTAGTGTATGTATGATGCAATAAAGTATATTTTTTTAAATAATTACATAATTCTAACATAAATAAATATTTAACTCGATTATGCCAAATAAAAGAAGGAAACAAATGAAAACTTAAGGCTTTAGGAGGGGGGGAGGACAGGCCCCATAGCCCACTTAGATCAGCCAATTTTAATATATAACTAAATATATTTAAATGGGGAAATTTTTTAGTGTGAACATGCAATGTCTGGCACAAGCTGCCGCTAGGTTTGAAATCACATTGCGATTATGAATGTTTCTTTTCAGTAGAACATTTTGGGAGCTCCTTCTAGTGTTTCTGTTAGTCATTATCACTGTTAGGTATGTGTAATACACTCATTGATACATTTGTTTGAAATTTATTTGTGACAGATTAGAGATGTAGTAACGTTTATGGTACTCACAGTTAGAATAATCAATTTATAATAATTTTTGGATTAAAATATCGGAAGCAATGTTAGCTTTGATTGCTGCTATGTTCTGTTTAAATAGCAATAAGCAGCTAATGAAATAAAACTGATTTTCTCTGAGTTCTGAATAGAATTTATTGCCTTATGGTACCCCATTCATAATGGACTCTCTTACACTTACTATTTAACAATGGTACTTTGTCATAAATGGTTGTCATGTATGGCTGTTATGTATGGTTGTCATAAAACACCCTTCTCCATCTTTAATGCAGTTTACATTCACAACTGTAGAGAGAAAAATAATATTGATATGAACAGTGCATTAATGAAAAATGTTTAAGAAACTACTTCTGTTGCATTATATTTTTAACTTCTCTAACTAAAACAAATGTATGAGAATATTTTGTGCACTTAATTGCAGATGTAGCAGTGGGAGCACCCTACGAAAACAATAGGCAAGGTGCTATTTACATTTATCATGGAAACAAGAATGGCTTAAATTATCTCTATAGCCAGAAAATTAAACCTTCTGAAAAACTGTTTTTGAGAGGATTTGGGGCTAGTATTTCAGAAGGTTTGGATGTTGATGGAAACTATGTAAATGGTAGATTATTACAAATAATATTTCATTATTAGTGCTGTTACAATTATTCAAGTCAAACTGATTATTTTGATTATTTTTTTATTTTTAGATATTGCTGTTGGTGCTTACATTTCTGGACATGTTGTTCTTGTAAGAACATATCCTGTTGTTACAATAATTCCTGATTTGATGCCCAAGGATAGAAAAATTCCTTTTACAACTGAAACTTTTGAAATAAAATTATGCTTTTCATTTGCTGAAGATTACAAATCTTTGAGAGTAGGTAGGTTAAAAAAATAATTTCCAAAAGGTTTCAACAATAATCATGATCTCACGATTGAAGAGCATTTGGGAAAAAGGTGAAGGTACGAAAAACTAGAAGAAAACATTATATAAGAAAAAAGCATTTTTAATTTTAAAAACAAACCACTTAATTGTAAAATAATCAAATCCAGTTTTTTGATGGCCCTTTTAACTAGAAAATTATTTGGTTTATGTACGGAACATTAAGATGTTGGGTTTTCACCTTCTCAAACATAAATGTAGTATGTACATAAAAAATTGGATATTATTATCAACTAGTAATGTCATTTAAATCTAATCGTGGAGATTGCTCATCCATTTATTTGTAATGAACCTATTAAAATTAGTAGGCCCTATTTTTAATAATATTTTGATTTTTTCCATCATACATTGGTAACTTAGTAATATTATTTCCTGAAAATGTAACTGAAGCTCAAAAAATGTCTAATTTTATAGATTTCATGGGATGCAGCATCTGGGGTTATTACCCAAGTTTAACAGCAAATGTTTTGTGAAAGTTGCTCTTAAGTGATGCAGATTGTTCAAAAAACGTTTGCCCGTTTCTGCAGGGTATATTTTATCAATCACTGTAGTTATAGACAAATGGGTGGTGGAGCCTGGTACATTGAAGCACTAGGGAGGAATATAGAACTGTTTCATTAGGAAGTGCAGTGAGAAATTCACTTTTTTCTTTTTGCATTACACAATGGCTTATATTTTAAAAAGAAAGAATGCAAAAGCTTATTGTTAGTAAAGTTATCCTCCTCTGCCATAAATATGTTCAAAAGAAATATCACTTTTTAGAATGTAAATTCATTGGATTTAATAGTATGTGATGTTATGTGATTTGATGTATGTGTTGGACGTGACTGAAGTTAATAATTTAGGAAATTTCATTTCCTCTCTGTTTTAGGAGTGGCAATCTCATTAAAACTTGATCATTACTATAAGCGAATTTCTTTTGAGGCAGGTAAAGCTAATTACACATCTCATTACAATATTTCTCTTCAAAACAAGCAACATGATTGCCAAACTTTGAATTTATTTATTCAGGTAAATATACATGTCTTTCTGAAAAATGTCAAAGAAACCCATTTTTTTTTTTTTTTTAAATTGTCAGTTTTATATTACTCACTAATATGTTTCATTCCATTTTTTAACTAGAATAAAACTGAGTTTTCAAAACCCATTGAGATTTTTGTGGAATATAAACTCATCACACCACTTCCGTTGACAAATTCCAGGGAAAGTAAGGTGTCTAAAATAGAAAGTGAGTAAAATACCAACATCTGACATATACCACCTGGTATTAAATGTATTATATTAAAATATTTCTGTATTTACACAGGTGACACATTTTGTAAACATTGTGCAATTATCAATCCCAAAGAAGAACATTGGAGAAAATGGCTTATACAATACATACCTGATAGTGCACCTGCAGATCTAAATGTGAAAGCAAATTTTCTGAATGTGAAGTAAGAAATTTTTGATCTTATAATTTAACATATGACTGTTTCTGTGAATCACTAGGAAATGGAAATATTGTCCAAGATAAAAGAGTCATTTCACGTATAGCTGGAACGACAAAAACCTGAAGTGTTCCCAAAATATCTAATATTTCTCTACACAATCTTCTTTTACCACAAAAATTAAAAAAAAAAACACTGAATTTTTTTGTTTTGTTGCAAAAAAATAAAAATAGAATTGAAGTGAAAATTATTGAAAGATTTTTCTCTAATATCACGATGTTTCATTTTCTTTTAGCTGTAAATGCATACTTGATCTCAAATTAAAGCTAAAGAAGTAATATTTTAACGACTATTAATAAATAATTGGAAATTTTTATATTTTATTTTTTAAATGGTTTACAGTTTTTAAAAACAAGTTTTTTAAGTCATCCCCCATTATTTTTTTGTTTTAATCTCGAAGGCAATAAATTCTTTACGTTTATCTTCATCTAAGAAAAGTTTCAAAATGGCTTATATTTCGAACTGACGTAAAAAAATTATACTCAATGGTCCTCAGAGTATTTTCTTCACTACCGCAGCTCGCCGGTGGCATAACGCTCTGTCAATATTCCCTGTCGTCCTCCACTGGGCATGCGACCTTGCACAACATCGCACACGCCTGTTCATCGATGTCAGCAGGTAGTTCTCCACCCAAGGCAGTGGCAGGAAGACGACCGAGCTATACAAACACCAGGATCAACTTTCATTCAAGAGGCTCTTCATTGTCGAACGAACCAGAGGGGCGCGATTGGTTCAGTTCCATCACAGTGCCAGTAGTATGTCCTCGTTCGTGGCGTGCGGTTTTTTTCTTATTTAGGAGAGTGCTTGACAGGAATTAATTGAAGATGATTTGATTCATGTTTCAATCCTTTCATTTTAGAAAATCAAGGCAGAACAGAATATAAAAATTTAAGTTGTGTAATACAATGTTTCCTTCACAAGATGGGCATTCAGTATATACCAATTACGCCGAACTTGAAAATTTGTACCCGATGCAGATGGAAAACTTCAAAATTGCTTACAAATAAAAGTAAAACTTCTTAAAAAAACGTCAAACATTTTGCTACAAAGCTGGTACGAGTCAACAGGGTAGAAATTCAGAAGGCAGTCATTCGGAACGGAACATTGAAGTGAGAGATGATGGTGATCGATCTCCAAGTAACTCAGAATCTTCGTGTGTCAGAAACGTAAAATTATCACATCTAAATAAAAGTTTAACAATGTTAGGTGAAACGCCTACGAGGAAAAAGAAACTGAGTCAAAAAACATTCTCTAGTCATAAATAAAAGAAATAAGACGAACCTTGGAGTTAGAAATATTTGATTTTGAGGAGGTAGTGGAAGAACAAGGAGAAAATGAAGAATATATCATAGAAAAACTGAAGAAAAAAAAGATACGAAACTACTCATGATGAGAATTTAAAAAAAATTAATGATTTTTGAGGATTGGTCTTTTCCTAAAATTAAAAAACATTTCGATCCATGTACTCATATGATAACTGTTGCAAAACAACGAGCAGCAACAAATGAAATATTATCAACCTCACATGTGAAATTCCGAACAGCAACCGACGATTCTGAATACCAATGTGTTATTTAGAATGTTTATTGTTCAGATAATGTTAGCCGTATTATGAGTGGAAAAAATAATTTTATTTCAGTGATAAAGAATGGGGGAGAGGGTCATAAACAAAAGAGGCTTTTGCGGAGCAATCTGAAACAACACACCGACATTTTAAAGAAAAGTTTCCGCATCAAAAGGCCAGCTTTAAAAGTTGATAGCAGACGATGTTAATAAATTGAAAGATTATCGGCACTGTCCAACAGAAGTAATTTGTGACCTTCCAAGACCAGAGTATTATTTTAAAAAGTATTAGAAATGCCCTGGAACAGAAGAATTAATTAAAATGTTGCAGGAAAAGTTTGAAAAGAGACTGATTGACAGTGTGACGTATAGGTAATCAATTCACATTGACCGAATTAATTTGGTTTTAGTGCCATCTATGGAGGACAAATTTTCAGCTAAAATGGAAGCTTTAACAATTCAGGCATTTCAATCGCAGCAACAAGCTTCCTTCCGAAGTCGATGCGAAGATAATAAAACATACGACTATAGTATTATTTTCTGTGATTTTTTTAGGTGTGCACTGAAATAATGGTCAAGCAACTCTTCACCCTTTTATCTTATTGCATAGAAAATGGCATTGTAATACATAAACATTTGGTTGCAATTTCAGAGTGCGTCAAACACGACACATTCAGTACATCGCTTTCAACGATGTGTAATTATTTTTTTAACAGCTCTGTGAGATCAAGAATGCAGAAAACAATATTTGTCTGACAGTGCTAGTGCTCGGTATGAGAACAAAATCAACTTTAATATCTGTGTAGATAAGACGGATTTTGGAATAATTGCGGAGTGGCCTTCTTTGCAATATCACATGGTAAAGACCCTTGGAATGTCATTGGTGGTACTTCGAAAATATTAAGGATTAAGATCTAATCTTCAAATAGGTACATCGAGATTCGATTTCAACTCTCAAGAAACTCTTAAAGTTAGCAAAAAAAATTAAAAATAATGTTTTTCTTCTTAAATTAAGCTAATGAAGAAGAAAGAATTCATATGAAAAGTCGTAGAATTGCAACAAAAAGTCTACGTGGTACGCGTTTATTACATTCCTTTGTTCCTGTATGTGAGGACGAAGCATTAATTAAAACATATTTCTTGAAAGACAGTAGAGATATGTTCAATTGATGTGAAGTGAATTTTAAAAATAAGTAAACTTTACAACACTTATTATATTTTTTGGAATATTAACTAGAATTTTAAAAGTCAGTTAGTGTGGTGTAGTGGAGTGCTATGAAAGATTGCACGGTGAAATGTTCACGTTAATTTGTGAAGTTCATAGATTTTGTAAAGTTGTTAACTTCAGTAATGTTAAGTTAGTGTATTTTGCCACCAAGTTCTCAAACTTAATTGTAGAATTATTAATAAATTTAATCTAATCTACTCAGTGGCCATTGGCACTAATCTTCATGTTGTCAAGTTTGTTCCCCACAGTGTCAGAAACAGAAGCCATTTTGGAAGTTCCTTTAGATGAAAATATGAACTTTCTTTTCGTTTTTTTTTTCTTCAGATTTTTAATTCATGGTCAAAATAATTATTTTGTTCGTAATAGTTCGTAAACAAAAAAATTAACATTAAAATATGTATTTTATAAACAATAAGATAAATTTAATAAAAGGCACAGATTTAACTTTTGATTTAAGACAAACTCAAACTGAGATCTTAAAAAGATTTTGAAATATAAAATCACACACACACACGCGCGCGCGCGCATACTCGAAAGCACGAATGCACACGCGCGCGCGCACACGCATTTACACACGAACGCGCGCGCACACACGCACGCACACGCATTTACACACGAACGCGCGCGCACACCCACACGCACGCGCGCACACACACACACACACACACACACACACACACCAGTTTGTTGGCAGTAAAGGAAAAATAAAATTAGCAAAATTAAGAAAAATAAAAAAAACCACGTGCTGTTTGTGTTTGTGGTTATAAGTGTGTAAAAAAACTTAGATATGAGACATTGAGATTAATTTTTCTTCAAATTCATCTGATTTGGGGTGGAATGATTCAATATAAATTTTCTTCTAAATTTAAATCATGAAATATTTATGATAAAAAACAATAACTAAGAATTTATTTACAGATCACCATATATTATTGGTACTACAAACACAATTGAGTTTTACGTCCAACTGAAAAACAATAAAGAACAAGCAATGGATACATATGTTTTCATAATATTTCCTTCAGTTCCTTTAAGTTTATTAAAACAATTTCCAAATTCTTGCCAAGTAAATGTAAGAGAATTGGTTAATGATATTTTAGAGCTTGTTTGTGAAGTAGAAAGTCCGTTTTACCATGGAATAGAGGTGAGGTGATATATTAACATTTTAAGTTATGAATCATGTCTTGTTAATTGTAATATGATTTTTATATCCAGTTTTATTTGTTTTAGCATTATATTAATATCACTCTTGTTATGACTGAAGTACCCTCTGAGCTAACAAAGCTTAACATTAGTGTGTATGCAAGAAGTATAAGCTTGGAGGAACATGAACCGGATAATGAAGCAAATTTATATTTATCTTTGGAAAGGTCATTCGATCTAGAAATTCATGGGTAAGTATTAAATAATTAAAAGCATGTCTACAAAAATATATAGTACATGACTTAATGTAATTAATTTCTCCAATTTTTATAGTCTTTTTCATTTGTTAATTATTAACTACCATAAAACTAACAAATATTTCTTTAAAAAGAATAATTTACAAATAATGTTTAATAGTGTTGATACAGAATTGAACATTTAATTAAAGTATCTTTTGGCAAAACTTACTGCAGTCAGTTTAAACACATTTTTTGTGAAATGCAAAATATTGACTTTCCTAATTTTGAGTGATTTTTTTAAATTCTACTGTTTATGAATATATGCAAAAGAAAAAGAGGTGTAAATTTATTCTTCCTAATTTTGAATTATGCATTTAATTATGCACTTCTATTTACAGTAAAAGTGCAGAATATTCTTTAATTGATGATGAGCTTACATTAAATGATGAAGGACTTGGGGAAGGAAAAGCAACTAAACAACAATTATATAAGCACAGTTATCAGGTATTGTATTAGCTTTTAATGGGATTAGAATCTGATAATATGGTTGACATTAATGTTTCATTTGTCAGAGTTTGAGCCCTTTTTATTATTTTTCAGATCATAAATAATGGACCAAGTCCTGCAACCAACATTGATCTTAATTTTGAAATTCCAACAAGCATGCGGCATCATTTTGCAGATCCTATAGAAGTTGTTACAATTCGAGAACAAGTAGTATGTTTTATAATTTTATTTTACATTTTTATTAATTATTACTTCTAATGTCTTATATTTGTTAAGGAAATAATCAATTAGTGTAATACTTAACACTTAATATGTTGGTACTCTCGGTACTCAGTGATGTCAAGGGAGGGCAATGAGAGCAGTCCCTGTTGACATTTTGGTGTATTCTTAGGAGTGACAGCAATTCAAAAGTGTAAAATAAATATATTGTTTTAATGCTTTATGAAAAAAATACATATAGGGTGAGTCATTTCAGGTAAAACAAAAAGAACTTCGACTTCTCAATTAGATGAACAAATGTTTTCTATGCCATTTTGTTTAGAAATGCTTTGTTATTGCACAACGGATTTTTGATTTTTTTTCTTTTTCTATAATGTGTGGAAGTTTGAGCTTAAATTCACTTGAAGTGCTGAGGATATTTCTAATTGTTGCTGATGAAGAAAATCTTTTTTTTTTTATTCAAATGAAGAGAATCGTTGGAAACAAAAAGAAGATTTTGTGAATTGTCAAAGTTGTGGTACATTTTTACAAGTGTTGACATAAATGACAACACTGTGTCATGTGTGGCTCTGCAATTGCACCTGACCTTGTCAGCTGGCCATCAAAATTGCAGTGCTCTTGCTGTTTTCAAGTTTCTGCAAGTCTTCAAGAGCACTTAAGAGTTTGAAAATGCACACAAAGTTGCAGTGACAAACAGGCATGAAAAATTACAGAAGCTGCTTTCTATGGAAATCTAGGTTTACACTGTAAACTATTTATTGCTAATAATAGGGAACACAATAGGTGTGTTTTTTTTTCACCTATTATGACTCGCTTTGTATTAATTTTATTAAAGTTTGTAAACCATAATTTATCCTTTCTTCTTGACAAATAAATGCTTTTATTCTATCATGAATAAAAATTCAACTGATTGAAATAAATATTTAATATAAATACATTTTTATTATAAATGGTATTACTGTTAAACTTAATTAGTGAACACCATTTCTCCTAATAACTATGTAATTGTCATACAGAAAAAAAATTCCACATTCATAAAAATTTAATTTTCATTTATCATAAAACATTTATATTCTATTTTGCAATACTTTTTTCTGTCGAAGAGGTAGAGGAGCGTCTTTATGAGTGTTGTTGTGACACCAATGTAACATCACTGTCTATACCGTAATGTTGACATGTCGCTAATTAAACATTATGAAAATAGATCTTTATGTTATTTTGTTGTGCTTTTTTTAACTGTACTATGCTTTCTCAACAGGCATATTTAGAGGAACAGCCTTTGTCTTGTACAGTTGTTGATTCATCCAGTTCTAAAACATACAAAAACTTTTCCATCCATGATGAAATTCAATTTCCCTCAAATAGGACATTCATATTGAGTTGTTCAGAAACATCTGTTCTTTGTACACAAATTATATGTAGAATTAATTCACTGTATCCTGGAAACAGAGGTGCAAAAATATCATTTGCTCTGCATCTCATGGCTGAAAAATTAGGTAATTGTTGTAAATCTTTTTTAGGAAATTTATTCTTATTTTACTATATTGATATTTTAACTTTGTTCTTTTTTCACTTTGATTTTTGAGGTGCAGCAATGGGTCTGAAGGATATAATTCTTATAAAGACATTTGGACAAATTTTGATTTCTCCAAAAAGGTAAGCACGAAAGTGCAGAAATTGAACAAGAAGGATACTATTTGTTTGTAAGAGGAATATTTCAAAACTAAAAAATTATGTTTTTGTTAAGGAATTTAGAAGTTCAATCAGTGGTATGGACAAAACCGCCAACAGCAAAATTGGACATAATAACAATAAGTATAGGTATTACTTGTGGACTGCTCATTTTTCTGACTCTTGTTTTATTACTTATTAAGGTAAATTGGTTTCTTTTCAATTATTTCCTAACATCATTGTCATCAAGTATTTTAACTACATTGAGGTGGATATTTTCAGTGTGGATTTTTCACAAGACAAGACCCTATGGAAAGATACTTCCGAAAAAAGGCAGCCCTAGTATGTATGCTCTTTATATGTGCCTTATTGTTAACTGGGATCTAATTTCCTGTTTTGGTAGCCATCTTAATAATGAATGTAATAATGTGAGTGTAACAATATGTAACAAAATATTAAATGAACGTTCTTCTTTGCAGGCTTTGGAATCTAATAGTATTCCAGCAAGTACTTTTTACAGTCCACGAGGTTCCATCATGGTATTTTAATGAAGATTGGTGGTAGCAGTTCTCAGACAAAGACTGTTTTTCAAGACTGAGTGTACAAAAAATTAATTTGTTACTTTGGCATTGTATCAATGCCATTTTTAATTACTATGAATAAACTATTATTTAACAATGTGAAATGAAATTGTGATATCAAGTTGACTCTGAAAACTAAATATATGAGTAATAACTGCAAAATTTTGTGTCGCTTGAAGGCGCTTCTTGAAGAACTTCCCCTTTTATTTCATAGAGAAACATAATGAGTTTTTGAAATTGAAGAACAGTTATCATAAGGACAAAAATCTTAACACAAAAAGAGAAGCAAAAGTAAATCATGGACACAGATGTTTCTTAAATGTACTTCTGGACACCACTCAATACAATTCGAATATCACTGAATGTGAATTATTGGTATATTTGTGGAACGTTCGAGGAACAAGCGGAACCCCTGTTTTGCAAAAATAGACGCAACCCGCTTTACGCTATTAAATCTCATGTCCACACACGTGTTAACCCTTAGTCAACGCAGGATCGATGCTTTTTTTAGGAAGGGCAACAATTTTACAATTCACACGAGTCCTAATTAAAAATAAAGTGTATTATCTCATCACAAGTAGGGTTTTATACTGATTATATTAAACAACAAACAATCAAAAATAAAAAAAAGTACATTTTCTAATTGTTTCCTTTCAAGTGTAAAGAACACAAGATGTGCCATTACTTGGTGAGCCATGGGATATCTTCGAGGTCGATTGATTGCTAACGTAGAAGTTGAGAATGTTAATTCACACGAGGGAGTACTCCATACAAATGTAACATATCCAGCCAAAAGAGGCTGGAAATGGTCAGTTTTTTCTCCTCTTGCTACGTTTACGCAGTCAACAATATTGCAATGGTGTGACGAAAATCGTCAATTTTTCGACAGAAAAACTTGTATTGTCCGGTCTTGGTAATGAAAAATGGTATAAAACTTGTCCCTATGAGTAATACAATTCCTAGTTTAGTAAACTATTTCCTCTATCATGTGTAGGTTTCAAGTTTTAAGTCATTGGTACCTGAAGATCGATTGACGGCAAATATCTGTCCATCCGTTCGCTAGCTCCTAAACCGTTCAGATGATTTCTTCAAAATTGATATTCCCCAAGCGTCAGAGGCGTATTTACGGTATAGCAGACATGACACTCCATGAACGCCACTCAAAGGGGAGCTATTTAGAGTGTACCCGCGAAACAAATAACAAAAACCCTAATAAGAAGTATCCTGACAGGGGTGCAAATTCTATGATTGACAATGGGCGCCTGAATACCTAGATCCGCCTCTGTGAGCGATTTGGTCGAACTCGAGGCCCTGCAAGTTTGAAACAGATATTTATTTTTTATTTTTGGGGGACCTTCATATAAAGGAAGAGTTATGTATCACGCTTAACTGTCAGATTAGAAGCTCATGAAATTTGATAAACGTGTCGGGAGGAAGAGTTCCGGGGATAATTATTAATGTATTTCATTTTTTTAGTACTTCATATGAAGCCCTCCTGTTACTTACAAAATTTTCTGACAAATGATGGCAATTGTATTCTTTGAATCTTTGCTTGAATATTGAATATGCAGAATTCCGATTTTAATTAAATCGTCCGAAATTTTGAAACTAGCAAAAGTTCGAATATTATTCCAGTATTTTATATACCTTCAATATGTGTAGCCTGATATTTCTTTCTCAGTGCAATTTTTACTCAATTGTATATCTTTAAATGGTGTCATACACTTGTTTGAAAATGTGATTAGTTGCTGATAGATGAGTAATAACACGTAGAGTAGGAAACGTTTCGTGGTGCCGTAGTATGCAACTGGGGTGCATTTGCGTAGAGCAGGGATTTCAACCTTTTTCTTTCATGACCTCTTTTATGATAATGCTTGCTTCATCATCCCTCTTACGTTTTCTCTATTCTACACAGCATTTATAATCATGACACAAAGAATTACAAATAAATGCCTTAAAAGCAATTTCGTTCCCCAGTAAATACCTTAATTTTTCATTTATCGAAGACGTTTTTATTTTTGAATATCTGAGTTTCTATTCTTCATTGAAAAGGAATGGTTACAAAATGTAAAGTGTTTTTTAAGAACTGGCTGCAACATTTTTCCAGTGCCTTTTGCGGAGATTACGCACTTGCGCAATGGAGTGCCGTCAACGCATACTTATAATTTGTTGAGTTTTCTAAACATTATAGTTTCTTATTTCCTACGGATTAAATACGGATACGAAAGAAGAGGAGCGAATGTGTAATTTATTATTATACGTTTTGTTGCTTTATATAAGAAAAAAGTTAAATAAGTTCATTATTATTTTTTGCAAACAATAAAATCTTGATTATACCGATAAGGCACTATCATCATTCGGCTGTAAAAATCCAATTGATTCCTTAATCATTATTGACCTTCAAAATTTAATCGCCCCCCAGGGGGTCTATACCGACCCCCCTGGCGTAGAGACATCATCGCCTTGTATTTACAATGGCGGATCCAGGGAGAGTATTGTGGCCATGCTCCCTCCCCTTAAAGCCCTACAGTTTTCGTTTGTTACCTTCCTTTATTTGGTAAAATTGATTTACCACTACGAGAACGGCATTTCCTTTCTGCCTAGTAGGACGAACCCGTCATTTTAAGAGTGCGAGTTTTTGTTAGCGAAACATCAAGAGAATCGTTCCGATTTTACTTCAACTTATTTATTGTTGAAGAATTTTATTGTTGTGCTAAGATTTTTCTTACATATGTAACAATGGATGCCTATGCCATTTGATAACATATTTAACATATATAAAAAGGTTTTTCATTTTTATCTTGTGCAGTTCTTGATAATCGCTAAACTTTAATTAAATATTTATGTGCGTTAAAATTATGTAATTATTTGAAAATAATAATGTGTAGTATAATATTTGTAATTAAACAAATGTTTATTTCAAAACAAAAATCTATGATGGCCCTGGTTTGGCAGCTCTTTCACGCAGCGCCGACGTGGCCGCCGTGCCGCCGCGTCGCCATCAAGTACGTCGAGGCGACGCGGAGGCGGCAGTGGCGCGGCCAAGCGGCCCACGGCCTCCCCGCCTCTCCTCCTCCTTCCCCCTTCTCTTCATCCTTCTGCCCCTCCGCCGCGGGGACAACACAATGGCGCTCTTTTAAAGCACACGCCGAGCCCAGCCGAGCCGCGCCGCGCCGCGCCTCCAAGGCCGCAAGCCGGGGGACTGAACCCCGGACGGCGACTCTGCCCGCTGCGGAGCCGAGGACGCGCGCGAGCGGAGGCGGGGAGAGGTAAGACCGGGCGGGGCGGGGCAGCAGGACGCACTACGCACAGTGGTCCAGAACGGGCAGTCGTGACATTTCCAATACCGAAAGTTTCGGGCCATTGTGTTGTGGTCAAAGTACACCACAATGTCAGATTAATATTTATGTATAGTGCAGGGGTTGGGGTAAAGCGAAGTTGACTCTTACATGGGCAGCAGACACGTGGTTCTGTGGCATTCTTGACTCAGATCACAATAGCAGCAGTAGCAGGAAACAAATTGCAATGAGAGCACACAATTGTAGACGACAAAACCCTCATACAATGCATAACCATATGAAGGGACAAACGGTGCTCTTCAATTTTCAGTTCGCGCTGTAAAATTTCATTTTCTTTGTTAAGAAGCAAAGCAAACTCTGTAATGACATCACAATTTGAAGCAACTAATTGGATAACGGAACCCCATCTCCCCTGTCAACCGCTAGCTGTCAAGTAGTCAGAAATATTATTCAGACAATACATTGGTCGCAAGGAGTGGCGGCTCGTTCTGAGGTTGAACGGCAGTACAATCACCAGATATTCCTAAAACACTTATCGTATGTGTCGATATATTGCTACTATAGCAATATATGAAATCTTTTTGAAATCAAAGAGCATCCAGCAAATTGTCTCTTTTGGGTCTACTTGCAAGCCAAACGGCGCACCGATCTGCGTCGTCGCGCTTAAGGACTTTTAACATTGTGAAGCGCAAGCCATTTGACTGACCGCCCTTACTTATGCGCTTATGCGTCAACCCTGCGAACACTACGTTAATCCCCGCGCGTTTTAGTACCGCAACGGCAACGTAGAAAGTTCAACAGGCTAACATCACAAATCATTGAGTCTCAGCGGTCTTGGCGATTCGGAGGTATACCAGTTTTCTGTCTTCGTCTAAATATCGCTGTAAATTACGCGCGTTGTTGAAGGAATAGAAGTTATCAATTTTTGACTGTATTGAACGCATCATATAGGATATTTGGTAAATTTGAAGGGATGTACATTTGAAGTGTGCAGTTTTTGTGTACAAATGTTGACCACCTTAGAAGAATTTTCCTCTTGGATCTCTCGGTGTGATTGCGTGTAGCTTTCGTAGTGTCGGTGATTCTTCTTCTTCTTCTTCTTCTTCTTCTTCTTCTTCTTCTTCTTCTTCTTCTTATTATTATTATTATTATTATTATTATTATTGTTATTATTATTATTATTATTATTATTATTACTATTGTTATTATTTTTAATTTAATTCACGACTAAAGAAGTTATGAGCCGTTTGATTATAAAGTCTACTCCAAGTTGCAGCCAGCATTCTAAGGAGCAAATCTAAGGACTGTCGGTGCGTCTATAATACTTTGTGTCATAATATGGGCTGTTCCAAATTAAGCAATTTGCAGTCTTTTGAATGGCCTGGGAGTTTAGCCAAGTTCTTATACAAATTTTGCGGAACAAATGCCAGAGCTCCGATAACTATCATGACAGCGTAGGCTTCCGCGGCCGGAGTCAGTGTTTATTTGGCTATCCGGGTGACGCCGCGTCCACGGCGAAGGCGCCGACGTTTCGGTCGCCATTCTGCGACCTTCCTCCCATTACGCCCTGACAAAGGGCGCAGAATGGCGGCCGAAACGTCGGCGCCTTTGCCATGGACGCGGCGTCACCCGGACAGCCAAATACAAACTATCGTGGCGACTTGTGCTTTTACGACCCACATTCGGTTGATCTCGATTTCCTACCTCTTATATTTACGACGTTTCTCTGCCTCCTTGGTTACGACGTTTTGATCGAAAGGGACAGCCATATCTACCACATCTACAAGAAGACACGATTTGTTCTCCAGATCCCGGATACTATCAGGTTTGTTTGCCGATATCGTGCTGCTATCAGTTTGAACTTGTACAGTCCAACAGACGTCACGAGTTAGGGTGAGTGTTCGTACCACTTGGAGCATGTGTTTGGACCTTCGAGGGTGTTATAATCTGCCAATGAACACCCTATCGTGTCTTTTCATGTATTCGGTCTTTGCTGGAATCGGACAAGCTGAGACGATATGATCAATGGTTTCTACTTGTTCCTGGCAGATGCAGCAATTATCATCTTGGCAATTTTTTTTATCATAATGTTTCTCAACCCCAGATGTTGGCCAGAGCAGCAGTAATATTACAAGTGCTTCCGATTCTGGCTTCATTCTTCTCCTTTAAAGTCACATAAATGATTGATCTTTTTTTAACTGCACCTTGTCCATTCTTTTTAGATATTGTCCATGGAGTGGTTTGTCTCTCCACGATTTCTTCAACACTTTTTGTGTCTT